CCCCCCCCCTTTGTAAGTCACTACATAGTATTGCTGCTGTTTGTGTATATTTTTTGTGTATTTGCTAATTTTTATTAACTTCTAGTTTTTCATTAAATAAATATGACTTTCTTTTCTGTAATTCAGGTTTTTCTCTTTTTTGTATCTTTTTAAAATTAATTACAGGTGTCATCTTTTGATATGCATAATTGCTATGGTAAAACTTATATTTCTGTATGTTTGGTAAATTTTGTCTCTTTCCAGTAGTCAATTCATTGGTGATAACTGTTCTTAATTGAGCTATTTTGTGAATGTACTGAACTCGAAAGGAGTACTTATGTTCAAAGATGTATCAGGAAAGAAAGCTCCTTTAAAAACAGGTCTTAGATGTTGTTGTACTTTGAGTTATCTTCTAACAAAAATGAACAGTTATTGAGAATTTTCCGAATTAAAAAAAAAAAATAAAAATTCACGTTTCAAATTTAGAGATGCTTAGAAACTTGATTGCATCCATGTATTTGTTGGTTTTGAAGTACAAAGAAGGTATTGTCTTACACAGTATTTGTAATGATAAAACCAGACCATTTGTTGTTTTTTTTTTTTAAAAAAAAGGCAGTCAGAATGAGATGTTTTCAGTCTTTTTATATTTGTCATTAAAAGAATACCTGGCAATTAAAAAAACCCCACCTTTTGCTTTTTGCTTTAGCTCAAAGTTTGACACATTGATACTCTTGCTTAGTGTCTTGTCTTTTGGTTGTTACTAAAGTAACTGTCTTGAACTGATGTTTGTATATTTTAGTGACATGATACACATGACAATGCAAATAATCTCTTACAGGTGTGATTCACCAGCCATAAAGGCTTTTGAAGGATATTGGGCTTTATGCAGACTGCCTGTATGTGAAAAATTTAACCACGAATGTATATGGTATTTGTGTTATAAAACATAGAGACAGAAAAAAGAGTAAGGTGAAAAGCTGTTTCATCTCAAGCTATTTGAAAGAAATCTTTGTCAAACCGAGTAGTAGTGGACATCTGTTTGGGGACATAGTCTGGCTATTAACTACTTTTGTAACACATTAAAATACAGTTTATTTACTGTGCACTGTCTTAACTTTCTTATCAGAAGTTGATCTGTTAAGACAACTCTTGTTCTTATTATTTTGGTGCATGATGAGGTAAGTAGTTCTACAGGTAAGGAACATAAAATCCATCAGGCTGGATTAATAAAATACTACAGAAATAGTTGGCTTCATGTAGTAAGTTTCACTCCTTAAACTTTGTTATTTAGGCTGTTCAAACTGTGCACAGATATCATTTAAAACATGTATTGGTACCTTGTGACAGTAGATAAAAGCTTCAAAAAATCCTGCAATCTAGCTTTTTTTCCCTTACCAATACACAACCAATTGTTTGCAGTCTTCTAAATTCAGTAATTATTCTCACCTAATTAAGCTTGTCTACATTTACCTCAGGTTTGTCTTCTGGTCTTTGACAGAAACTTGGCTAAATACTTCAGATATTTTTAGAGGAATACACTGACTGACCGTCTCACTTGCTCACTCGTGACTGGCTGGCTTGGACTGAAGTTTGCCTGCCAAGGTTATCTGATTTTCAGCTCTCCAGTTGTGCGAAGAAAATCTAGCTGAAAGCCTGTAAGAACCCTCTGCAGTCTGAGACTTAGGCTTAGGGAGTAACAAACAGGGCTGCATTAGCACATGCGTTGTGTAAGACTGTTCTCTGCTGCTGCTTGTACTTGGAATGGTTCAACTTGTGTTGTGTCCCCAAAAGAACTGTGAATCTTCAAACCTTGTGGCACTGAGCTGCAGTGATTTTGGTTAGGCTAGAATGGGCTGAAGATCACAACTGTACTTTTGAAGGGGACTTCAAAAATTGCATTTGTAGTGAGCTTTAGAAGTTAACCGGTATGGTCAGACAGGTTTTTTTTTCATGTTTTACAGATGACAAATGCTATAGCATAACTAATGTATGCTGACTTACTGTGATGTAAACTAGTATTACTCCATTTGGTGTGGGGAAAAAAAAAATCCACGTAAAACATCTGATGTTCATCATCAGATGGAATGATTAAACAGATAGATTGTACTTAGGTTCAGATCCTCAAAAGTATTAGAAGCCTCATTCCGTGGCTCTCCTCTAAGGAGTTTGAGGATCCGGTAAGTCAACTACACTCTAGACATCTGTACAGTTTACTACCTTATCTAAAATAAATGGTGTATTAAAGTCTGGCATTGTCTTAACATTAGCTATTTATTTTAGTACTATTTTACTTTGCTGTATTGGGAAAGAGTATTCAAATTTGTCTTTAACAGATGAAGTGAAATACAGTAGATCTCACATTTGTCTACTAGCACTACCGCCATTGTTTTTCATTGCCCTTTAAAAAAACCCAAGCCTTAAAAGGAAAATGTTTGCGAAATGTGGATGTTAATGTTTGGGTTCTGTTTTGACATATTTTGCTAGTTCTTATTCGCAGTAGTGCTTTAAAATTAAAGCAGGTGAACTGTTTTGTATTGCTGCCTATACTGTTGTATTATCCAGTATCTTTTCAAAGCTGCTATGATTAAAGCATGAATTGCACTAGTGGGATAGTTATTATCTGTAACAATTTATAGTGTGGCTAGAGGAAAGGAGCCATCACTGCTTTCTTTTTACCTTTGATAAGCTTTAGCTATCTTACGGTATATTCTGAGGGACACATGTTTAATATCAGGTCCATTTAACTGTCACTTGCAGAGCAGAGTAATCCCTAGTGTATTGAAATTACTTTAAAAGGTCTTTACTGTTCTGGCTTGCTGCTTGAACAGATTGTTATTCTTCTTGACAGTGTTCAGTGAAGGCAAAAGAAAAGGCACTAAAGTGTGTCTGTACTATCCGCTATAATGGGTAATGCTTAAGTTTTATTTAAGTAATCTCAACAAAGTAACATAACAAGTCAGCTCTGCAAGCAGGAACATGAACAGCTGTAAGTAAATGCCCATTAATAGCTTCAGAGTGGCATTAAAACCCTCACCTTTCAGATAAAGTCCAATGTGGACAAGACTTACAAATTGGAGTGCTGTGGCAGACAGAAAGTCATTGCTTAACTTTTCTTGGGAGCAACTCCCTGTTCTTCTGTAGTGAAATTGCTGTGGAAACTTTTTTTTTTACAGTACTCGCCCTCTTTATTTCTAAAAAAATGCAGTTTTTTCTACGTGTATAAACAGACTGCACTGGAATTCCATGCATGTCTGTTTTCTCACTAGTGCAAAAAGTAGTGCAGGATTGTTATTTGATCTGCATTAAGTTTGGTAAAGAATTTTTTTCCCCCTATTGGTTTTGATTAAAGGCAAAGCAGCACATTAGTTACTGTACCTTTCTGGTGTTTTACTGATTGTCTAGTTTCTTTGCACTTTTTGTGTTCAAGTATTTTGTAAGGCAGAAAGTATTCTGAGACTCTGTGTTTGTTGCTTCTTACACTTGGAACTTGGCTAGGGAATGACTAAGAGTAGAATTCTTAAGATAGTGGAAACAAAAGGCGGGTTTATTTTTATCATTTTATTAGATGAAGTCTTCTGTGAGAGTTGTAAAATCTTTTGTACATCAGATGCAAAAATACCCAGGGAATTTATTACTATCAGCACTATTATGTTCCAGGCAAATCAGCTTTCAATCTATGGCAATGAAAGCAAAACAAACTATTATGTTTGATTTATAGGCTGTTTCTATAATAGGCTTTTGTCACTGCTACAATTTGCATTTCATAAGCATACCTGAGTTTGTTTCAGAATTAATGAGCAAGAAGAGTGTAACATACCAGGTTTTCTCTTGTAGTCAACCCTACTATAAAACAGTGAAAGTCAAGGATCTTACATAAGTTTAAACTTCTATCTTCACTAACATTCAAGGGAAGATGAGTGACAAAGCTATCAACTGAGATGGGACACTGACAAGACTCTTAAACCTTGTTACTCACAGTATTGCAGCACCTAATGCAGTTTAATGCTCCAGCATTTTCTTGGCATGATTTAAATGGATTTAATTTTTATAGGCTAAACTCCGAACGTAGGCATCCAGAATCAAGTTGATTTATATCAGGTAAGAATGAAGGACACGTACTTTGTCCCTCCAAAATGTTACCAGGCTTTTTCATAAAGTCTTGGGGTTTGCTCCACCTACTTCTGGTGCTGTAAGTACAACTGCGTGTATGTGAACGTTAGTGCATTATCTCCCTTCCTACACAAGAATTGGTACATTTCAATTCTTCTGGAATTGCTTCCTGTATTTAGGTTTGAAAAATGATGTCTGCATTGACCTTGCTACAAACTAGAACTGAGTGCAGAAAGGACTGACTTACTTCATTTAGACCATATTGCTTCTATTCAAATCCCTTAAGCATATTTTTTAGATTTCAGAAACCTTGTTTTTCCTCTGATGCTACTGCTCCTTAGCATAGTGAATATTGCTTCCTAAATGAGTAAACCCTTGTGCTAAATCAGTTTGCTTTTTGGTAACAACCGCATCTATTAGACTCTCCTGCTGTGCTGCGTTTGCTGCAATTTGTGTTCTCTGAATATAGCTCACAGAATTGCATATTCTTCCCTGTTTGTGGGTGTGTCCTCTTAAAAGATGTAATCAGCTGCTGACATTTATAGACATATATGCCAGATAAGCTAAGGAATTCTCAACAGCTCCAGCTTTCTTATGCTTGAATCTATCAGGAAATTGATAGTAGAAAGCAGCAAATGCCTCTAAAATGTGGTTTCAGGTTGTTAACTGCAGAAGTAGTATTTTTATTTTGATTGCATTTACACCCCCATTTAAACAATCAGGTTTAGCTCATAGTTATACTTGATACATATATAGCTGATTGGTATTGATCTCTATTAAATTTGATACAGAAGTAATCTCAGCCTGTCTGCTTAAAGTTTACTATTCAGACGCTCAACTCTGGGCTTAACTGCAAATCCTCCATCAAAAGCTGCATTAAGAACTTCATCTAGACAGCTTGCCATAACAAAAGTCAAATCTTGCCGTACATTCACTGCAATTTCTTCAAGATCTTTTTCATTTCTTCGAGGAATGATAATTCTCTTCAGTCCAGCTCGGTGTGCTGCTAGGACTTTGTCTTTAATTCCCCCAACCTAATAAGGAGAAGAAATATATCTAAAAAATCCATGACACTAATCTAATAAAGTAATTATTCTAACAAATCACATCAGGAGTTAAATTTTAATGAAAGGATCTCCCCCCCCCAATCATTTAGGAAAGCAATTAAAAATGCAACAGTAGTTTTAGCTCATTATATGTTTAATGAGCTACAGTACCCTTTCTATAACAGTTAATAGCAAGAGGGAAAAAAAAAATCAAAAAATTAAAAATTAATCTAGGAATGCAGGTACAAGAATATCAATAGTGGAAAAGTCATTACGTTTCAGGATTTATTTTGTTCTTAAGAAAAATGGCCTTAACTCAATTTTTTCATATGGCATGCTAAAATCCTGCACCTATATTAGCACAGAAGATTTTCAAGATAAAGGCTATTGGGCTTAGGCGGGAAATAGTCTTAAGTAACTTATTGTGTGGCATTGCATCCTTGAGTTATACAACAGAAAACGCACAGAAAAGCAAACGCATGCTCCAAAACTGCAACGATGCCTTTGTGCTAGAAAAACAGGCACCACTTCAATAAGACACCTGTTTGAGTTAGTTTGTAATGAGCTGTAAAGAGGGGTTTTAAACTAGTTTTTCTTTTAGACAGAGCTGTAGCTTCTTCCCCTTGAACTCTTTTCTAATCCTACTTAAAGACCATCTTCTAGAAGAAACTTGTAATTTTACGATGCTTTAGAGGAAAGGAAAGCCTTGTGTTACAGCACAAAGGGCAAAACTGAGGCTGCTATAAAACAAGGTAGTAGTGAACCGTAAATCCTCATGGTGATCACTCTAGTCTGGGCAATGCTACATACTTACTTACCCCAGTGCTTGCTTTCAGGCAGCAGATGCAGTTAATGGCATGCTCCTATGATTTAAGTTACTAATAATAGTAAGATTCCAGACAACATTCAGAAAGAAGGTAAACCTGGTTTAGTATTTACAGATACCTAATTTTTGCACCCACCTTAAAACAGTAGGCAAAATCTGGTCACTGGTGCAATAAAGGCAATTTATTTGGGAAGCTAAGCGAACTTGCACCAGATCAGAGTTAATGCAGAGTTTATTTTTCACTAGAGCCTTGTACAACAGGCAATCTTGTCTAAGTATCACCAGAATGCTGTTTCAGAGATCATTCCAGTCTGCTACCTGGCCATGTTATCTCTCGTTTACTGCATGGAACAAAGTACTGTTTTCTAGCTTCATCCTTCCTTTATCCATCAGTTGGTATGAGATGGTAACTCCCATAGCTGCTTAATCACTTATGCCAGGCTCCATTTGATACTTAAAACTAAAACTGTATCTGTTTGAATACTTCCCTTTGCCCTCATGCTTTGAAAAAGCTTTATGGCAACACCATTCAGCTAACTATATACAAGGAACAAAATTTAAGAATCTAAAGTACATGCAGAGAGATGGTTTCAAGAGTAACCTATATGCAATTACTGTAAGAACTTTAAGAAACAACTTTTCAAAGAAAGTGGAGGTACTTCTGCAGGAATAGTTTGAGGAAGCATGTTTAGATTGCAATACATATTTTGGAACCATCTTGAATTTTAAGATTTCTAGGTTTCCTTTCTAACTAGTCATTTTAATGTGCTTTCCCTGAAAACAGTGTCAAGGCTAGCTTTAACATAAAATGCAAAGCAGACAGATGAGTGGTAAAGTACTACAGCAGGCTGGCTTCCATCAGCTTACAGCTGCACCAGAAGAGACTGGATTGCTGCTAAGGAATGATCCAGCAAGACTTTGCTTTTGTAAATGGCTATAAGCAGATTTTATATCCAGAATAGGGAGAATGAATACAACTTAGCTTTTTTTCTCAAATGATGCTTACTGGAAGAACAAGGCCTCTTAGTGTAATTTCTCCTGTCATGGCTACATCTGAACACACCAGCCGCCCACTGAAGAGTGAAGCAAGGCAGGTTACTATGGTAACACCAGCAGATGGTCCATCTTTTGTGACAGCTCCAGCTGGGAAGTGCAGATGGATGTCAGTGTTGTCAAGGAGATCAAAACTTCCAGAAGCTTAAGGAAAAAAAGAATGGTTTGAATGTGAAAAATCTAAACCCATTTTGTTCCTGGTCTTTATTCTAAAAGCCCACCAGAGAACTAAAAGTCTTAACACTATTTTTAACAGTAGGCTGAAAAAACAACACTATATTGCAGAGGCCCTAGAAAACAAACAAAAAGAAAACCCAGCAAGCCTTCCTACATCCAGATGCCTAGACAAAACCATAACAAGTTAACCAATGAGCTCAGCTTTCACAGGTGTTGGGAAATTCAGAGTAGGGACTAATGTAGAAACCAAGGAATTCCTACATAGAATTTTCAGGGATTTTTATGTCATAAACCATAAATGTCAATTGGCAAAGAACACAAAATCAGCACTCCACAGAAACCCAGCATTAGCCAATATTGTAAAGTAAATCTCTCATTTACATCGTTTCACCTTACTTAACCTGTAGGACATAAGAGTGTAAACTAGAGAGGTAGACGTGTATACAGTCAATGCCAGCAGCATTTCATATTTAACCTATCTGAACTTCCATAAATAATGACAGATACTGACTGGACAATTATATGACTATTCAGCAGATGATCAAACTAGAAAGCACATTTCTGGAACTCTTGGGACGTTCAAACAAAAAACCAAAAGAGTTAAAAGTTTCCTGGCTAGAAGTCCTATTGCACTGCAGTTCAACAGCAGCCATACAAACGCAACTAATGCTCACAATATTAAAACTTAAGACTACGAAAACCTACTTTTAACAGAAACTGTGTCTTTGTTTTAGAGGAAGACTACAGACTTGTGTATCTATATCTATGTCATAATAGTACTGCTGGAAAGCTTGAATGTAAAAATGAGTAAGAGGCAGTGTCTGCCACAAGTAAGGAGAAGCATCTTCAGAGGCTGTCCACAGCCTTCCAGGTTATTGCAAGGAGGGACCGGCCAGAGTGGGAGAATCCACAGTGACAACTCATGTTCTGCCTAGACCCACCTGTTTCCCAGGCCACTAACACCTCAGCTTGACAGGAATCAGGAAAAGAAGTACAAAACGGAACTCTAGAGCTGATTTCATCTTCAGTGTAGCACTGACTGCTGGAAAACCCTTTCTCTGTTAAGGCAACACTTAATACATTTCCACAACGAATACGAGTTAACTTCACTATTACTCAGCAATGTTACAATCTGCTGAATTACTGAAAAATACCACATTTTGGGACGTTTAATTTCCATGCAATATTAATGCTTCCTTTATGGGCATCCCTGCAATAAGAGGCCAATGGATGCATATAATCTCTACAATGCAATAGAGCTAGACATTGTCATTTTTTCCCAACTTACCATTGGTTAGCTGGTATCTCTTTGCATTGCTGCGCAACCAGCTAATTGCAAGATGCGCCGACTCCTTCATAACATCTCCGAGTTGACCAGTCAAAGTAAGCTGACCTTCTCCATCCATGCGACTAGCTTCTACAAACATGATCTCTCCCCCTAAGGGAGTCCAAGCCAAGCCTATGGCTACTCCTGGCTGACTTAAGCGTTCAGACACCTGAAGGAAAACAACACAGGAAACAGTTTAGGAAACACGTGTAACAAAACTATTGCAAAACCAGTTTGATAGTTGCCTTCAAAACAACTGTACCCATTAAAACACAAAAGTTAAGCCCAAGTGTCTGATCCTTTTTTTTTTTTAATGCAGCAGTAATTCTGCCTTATGTGTAAACATTAATTACAGAATAGGAGCTGTATGTGGCTGCTTAGCTTAGGGCAATGGCAAACATCTGGTTTTATATCATTCTTGAAACCTTCCACATCCCCAGAAGTTCAATGAGAATCTTTCTCTTCAAAGGACAAGTATTTAGTCTATCCTGACTGAATGCTTATATGACTTAAGCCATCTGCTAGAGGTATATTTGCCGTGACTCTGTTACTGATATGAAAAAGCCAGTTTTGCTCCCGAATGTTACCTAAAAGCCTTTTTAAAGGTGGCTGCATTGCCTGAGCTACTGTCAAGACAACACACTGATTTTGTTCATTGCAAATGTTTATGAATAATTTTGAAAAATGAAAACATGAGCCTGATAGCAGGCTAGATATGAAAGAGGATGGGAAATCTGACTACCTCCCATTAGTAATTGCAAGTAGTTAAGTAAGCTCTACTCCACACAAGAGTATGACCTACTTACTTATCTAAAAGTCCGCCTATGCCCAGTTACTGATGAGAGTAACGGAGGTCTCTCAATCCTGTCTCCTGTGTTAAGAGAAGGGAGGCAGGATACTTCCCATGAAAGTTCCAAGTTTTGATTTTTTTTCCCCTTTGTCTGAGAGATTCTTTTAGAATATACAGAAAGTCCTTTTGTTTTCCTGAGCTTCAAGGAGGTGAAGAAACCCTGATGAAAGTTCATACAGGTATTCAGCATATTCTGAACTACTAAGTTGTGTATTTATTACAAGGCAGAAAAGAAACTGGATGAATTTTTACTGTGTCGGGCAGTGACTAGAGCAAAAGACAAATACTCCTTTGTAAAATAAAGCAATAGGCCCATTTTAAAATAATTTTGCTTCTTACTGAAATGCAGAATTGAAAGCTAATTTGATTCCTTCTTGAAAGGGATGAAATCTTCATTAAATTGTTTAGAGGATTTAAAGAAATGTTTCATTTATTGGACAGAAATCAAGTCAAAGGAGCCTCACAACAGAACCATAGTAAAAGAATTCCAATTCTGAAATCTGCATTTGTACTTATATTAAAATTCTGCACTGCACAACTCACCATAATCTTAATGCTTTCATTTTGCTTCCTTTGAAGAGTTAGCAGAGAAGTAAACTAATCAGACTTTGAACAGACACTGGAAAGGCAAAGCTCGGTATACACAAAGTTGACTTGCTTTTAACCATCAGCCCAGCTGCAAGATCAGAGAAATCTGTAAAGACTCCTTTACAGCCATGTACCTTAGGTCCGGAGGCAGAAATACTTGTATGGCCCTGCTGTGAGCTGGCTGTATTAGAAATACTTTGATTTGCGAGCTCCAAAGACAGTAAGTCATTACATATCCTAGTCCCTTAGTAAAATGCCTCTCTGTTAGCCCACTAGAAATGCTGCTGCAACTCCCCAAGTAGTACACGGGCCTGAAGTTTTGTAAGTGAAACAGCAGCAGTAAATTACCTAAGTAGAACAATATAGCTTTCCATAAGATTATCAGAACAAGAACTCTCTAAATAGGAGCCAAATGTTAACATTTCAGTATTGGGCCGAAATCTATCCCCATCATAAAAATAGAATCAAAATCAAGACCATAAAATTCTTAATGCTCAGTTTCTCTTTCCTGTTTTGCAAATAGAAAACAGCTTCCTTTATGCAATAAGAGTGAACAACTATTCACTCTACAGCTGGTACCTCTGGTTACTGGCCAAGAGATGCACATTTTAAAAAAAAAAAAAAAAAGCTCATTCACAAACACACAAGTTGTGCTACTTGTAGCTGTAGACAACTCAGATGCATGAGCAAGTTGTTCCTGTCATCTAACAGAATTGGTGAAGCAATAAAGAAAAAGCATTTCAAGTCCTAGAAAGTGAAATTAAACGTACATGCTTCTTGTAACAAGTTCTGATTTTGTATTATATGCTTTGCTAAATGCTATACTGAACTGTCAAGCGCTGTCTTCTAAGTTTGATGACTAAAATTTGAAATGTGACCCTCACTCAGGATCACTGTTTCTTGGTTTGAGGGAAATTAGCACACCGCAGAGCCACGGTGCAAGTAGTGCCAACTCTGACTATAGCAAAGCTATGCTGACCCAGGAGCTCCTGGCACAAACAAGACTCCAGCTGTCAAGAGGGACAAGCAGCAGAGGCCAGTGGGACTTGGTGTTACACTCCTGGATCTAGCTGACAACCAGGTAAGTTAGTAACTATACTTATCTCACACTAAAGCAAAGGAAGCCACACATCCACTCTCCTTGGTTCTCTTGTGGCTCTCAGTTATCTACATATTTTGAACGACATCATGCCATTTGCTTTTATTAGCATAATTTAGCTAGAATGGCCATCTCTTTTTCTAGCATTGAAGAAAATTGTACATAATAGAGTCCTTCATTCTTACGGTCTCAAAATACCTCATCTTATCAAGCATTTTCATCCATTCCCTGTATCTTAATAGTTACAGTGACTTAGCTTAGTAATTGCTTAGTAACTCAGATTAACAAAATCAATTCATCCTGGTTGCACTGAAAACCAACAACATTGAAGCATTCTCCTTGACAGTTGAGACAATCGTGTATTTTGGCAACCTGTCATGGTTTCAAACGTATCAGGTATAATGAACAAAAGTAACTGTCCATACATTCTCCCATCCAAAAGTAGCCATCAACAAGGTTTGTTGGTTTGGGGGTTTTTCTTTTCCTTTTTTTTTTTTGACTGGATGTTAGCACCGGCTCTAACTGTGTATCAGTTCAAAACAGTTTATAGAATTAATTCCACTGTTTGAGAGCTCAGGGGCAGAAAATAGTGAACATGACTAAAGATCAAAACCCAAAAGGTTCTAATCACTCATCATTTCTCTCACCTCAGTACAAACTCCTTCATCTACCCTCAGACTAGGTAGGTACCTCTTCCTACTTTCACAAGTAAGTTGAGATCTTGTAAGAGAAACTAGGTGTGTAGTAAGTGTTAATCACCTTTCAAACATCATTCTTTGCACTAACTGGTAGACTCAGAGGCCAGCACCTTCTCTTGCTGTACTGCTAGAGACTGTACTACCTCTACTGCAACCTCCTCACCTGAATATTAACTGATGCATGTTGACAGGCATACGTATAGAAAACACCCTGACAGCTTTGATAACTGTCTTCAGAAAAGACCCTTGAAAATCCCTAAAAACACACACGCACAAAACCCCATACAACCATACAATACTTACAGGAAAGTATGTTATATTACATTAAACATACCTATGAAGTGTTAGAGTGAGCTCCACAAGACTCAATCACTCCTGGCACCTCTGAATAATTTCTTCTCACAAAAAGTCAGAGGAATTTAAGTTAGAAAAAAAATCCTTACTTATACTTTTTAAACAACTTCAATCAAAAATGACCATTAGAGTCAGCTGATGACTGGTCATGTCTGTCAGATGACAGAAGAAGAGGTCACTGACCTACATGAACAGTTGTGGTTTTGAAAATTTTTGTAGATGAGACCACCCCAGCTACAATTTAGCTGTAATCTGAGTAGATGAACATATTGTCAGATACATTTTAGCTGCCTGGACACTGCAAAATTAAAGTCTTAACATTTAGCTCAGTCAGTTATTTTAAAATATTTAAGGTTATTCTAAGATAAAGGAAAAGAGACATCATCCACAAGTCTGCAGTTTTGGAGTTACTTTATAATTCAGTGTAATTGACAAAAAGCTATTAAGTCACTGATTCATAATGGGAAGATGAGAACCAGTCCTAAATTACTTGCTGGCCTTTAGCATCTTTGTCATCCTTCCATAGGTTCTCCCAACCTGACTGTACAAACCTTTTTTCTAGTCCACTCTCCTGATTCATTCCCTAGCAAACTACTGCAGGCAAAATATGTAACAGCAGCTTCCCTTAAAGGGAGGAGGATTTCCCAGAAATATCACCACAAGACTGATATTTCTTAGATAAAAATGCCTATCTAAATCGGTGTTTTGTACAGGTTTTACTTCTAAAAAATAACCTAATTTGTTTCTTAATTAGAATTGTGTACGTCCCATGAAATAGAGCTATTCTTTTACGGCATCTGCACTTTCATTTCCTAGAATAGGTAATTTCACTGACCTGGAGCTTCTGTCACTTTAACTTCACTCACATTATGAGGATACAGACTAATTCTGATGGGCCTTCCTGTGGTGCCAATAATGTTTTGTTAACTGAGCAGAATTAAGTGTTGAAAGAAAGAAAGAAAGAAAGAAAAAAAAGTGCTAAAATCCAAGTCAAATGAGAAATACTTCATTATAAACACTCTGGATATGTTATAAACCCTTTCCCCCAAAAGCATGCTGTGCTGAAACATTTCATTAAATCTTTTACATTTTAAACTACTGTTAAGATTATTCTTCCAAAGCCTTACTATGTGATTTATTCCAGCATTTGTTCTGTAGGGTGACACGTAAGATTATTTATTTGTGATAAATGAATTAATCCTACAAGTATAAGCTGAGTATTCTGTCATGCCTTTCTGCTGGGAGACCTCTGCAGAAAATACACAAGCAATGCACTGAAAAGGTAAAAGATGAATCATTTCTTTTAAAGGTATTCCCTGAAGGATAACAGATCAATTAAGTCATGTCATGTTTTCTGTTCTATTTGCTCAGTCTCATCCAAGTACTGACATGCTGGCTGCCTCCACTGTATCTTTATTTCAACTAAATATAAATGGCAAAATGCAGGTCAAAGATAAAGCTTTAAAGGCTAGATATATAGAGAGACACACACTGCAGACTACAAAACCAGAAAAAACACCAGTAGCCAATCTGAAACACCCGTCATTGAGACAGGAGCTATACTCTTCATTTGAAAGAATCTTGGGGGCACTTGAGAAAATTCAAAGGAATAATGGGTTAGTTGGCAAAACTCATTAAAACAGGAGTTATGTGGCTATCCGAGCAATTTACATTGAAAAAATCATAAAGTGTGTATTGAAAAATATTTACTCATTAATAAATACAGCAAACAGTACATGAAAATAAATCCTGAGCTGCTCAGGGAATTGATGCTGTATGGATTCATCTCTAGGTCTATTTATGCACTACTTAATTTGTCTGCTAAATAAGGAAACATTTAAAAAACCTTTGATACACAAGTCAAAAGCTTCAGTCAGTCTTATTTCAGCTTATACAGGCCAGCAGATCCATGACATGCTTATATGCATATCCATAGCAATTGCTCATGTGAAAAAAAACCCCAAGCCAGCACTCATGTATTTGTATATTTGGAATTAAGAACCACACTTCAGAAATTTTACTTGCACTACTTACTCCTATAGAAAAAGGACAAAATAGCAGAAATTATTTGAAACACAGCCATACTACCAAATTTAAATGAAAAATCAACTTCAGAAAAAGTTCAAAACTAGGCAGAACATCTAAGGAAAGTCACATATTAGCACATTTCTTGGCCTACAATCTGATTTTTAAAAAGTGTGATAAGTTCATATTTGTTAGAATTAATTCTACTCTTGACTGACTACTAGGAGTAGAGTTGCAAGTGACCAGAACTTTTGTACAAATTTACAAAATTCAATTTATTTTTTAGCACCTTTATGAAACTAATAAACATCACTTGTAGAAATCAGCGTACTGGCTTGAATATTAAGTTCAATTTACTACAATGGCTTCATGTGCATCTGCTATTTAAGCACTAAAAAGCCAAATGATCCTGCAGCGCTTTAGCTCCAAAGACCAGATGTCTGAAGTGTATAACATACTTCAAAATGAAAGTTCAGATAGAACATTATTTCTCTGAAAAATACCCACATGCTATTTTTCAGTAATTGTTTCTAAAAGTCAGGTAGTGAGAAAAGACTAGTAGCAGACTAGACTCCACAGCAGTATCACAAATAGTCTGATGGCTACAGTCATTCCAAATCAAGCTAAAGTATATCCACACTACCTTCTTAATTAAAATGGCCTTGAACTGTCTTGTGTGATTTTATTATTGGGTATAGCGGCTTCTGAGGGATGAAAAGAAAAAATGTAAGCTGCTTACAATAAAGTCATTTGCCTAAAGAGCAACCTCTTCTAATTTCTGAAAGTAAAAAGAAATAAAATCAGAACACAAATGACCAATGTGAAAAAACCTCAGCCAAAAGAGCCATAGTGTACTGGTCTATTGATCACTTGACCTTCCTTGCCTCCCATTCCCCTCAACTTCCACTGTTACCATCATCATCCTCTAACACAATCAATAGTGCTGTCTTCTTTCAACTTGTATCCTCATTTCTGTCTCTTCATTAAGAATCTCTTCCATGATAAAATCTTCATATCCAAATACATCAGTTCAGGTCTAAAAACTGACTCATTCCTTAACAATCATTCATTTTCTCCCGCTTCCCTTGCATATCTTGTCCCCTTTTTGTCCTCCAAATCCCACTGGAGTCTGGTTCTCTCATCTAGGAGAGAAGAACTATCACAGGGAAGTTCTTAGAAGTTTGAATTTAGTCTCTTCTGGAAGTTTTCTCTTAACTTCTATTTTCTCCATAACTTACTGGTTTACTGATCTTTTCTCCAGGATAAAGATAGAAAAACTTAGCGTTCCATCAGCAACTGGTTTCCTGTCATAGCGTTATATATACTACTTACACTCGGGTCAGTTCACCTGGACCTGAAGTAAAGCAGAGAATAACTGCAATGTAAATAGTGAAAAGAGAATCCCAAACTAACAAACTACTTCAATTGATGGCATTTTCATAGAATGCAGCAAAATACAGATGGGGGAAAGAAAAAATTCTGGAATATGCCTACTTGAGGAACAGAGCTGGTACTAGGAAGCTGGAGGTGCATGACTGATGATAAAACATTTTTAATAGCTAAGATTCACATTAATCTAAAGAATGTCTGAGAGCTTCTGGTGCAAACTGAAGTCGTTTTAATACCCAAAAATGCTGACTGGCTTTAAGGAGGTATGTGGGACAGTCCTTAACACAGCTGCCTCAGAGACAGGATTCCTGGGTTCTACTTTTGGCTTCTTTCCCAAGGCCATCAAACATCCCCCAAACAAAAGCAAAGTTGTTATGAACTGAAAAAACACCACCACATTCTTAAGCACTGCTGTAGGCATCTCTGCTAACAGAAAGTCATGCCATTATGTTATTTATGTACCCTGAATTAAAACAAAATAAAACAAAAACTTCGTTAGATGAAAAAAACACTTGGTGGAACACAATGAAACACAGTTCTGTTACTAATGCATTTTTCAAAAAGTTAATATTGTATAAACTCAGTCAATAGCAATAAAATAGACAACTAGTCAAACCAGACAGAAACAGCAGTCAAGCAGAAACAAATGAGGATGTTACCTCCATTTCATACATGGGTGGCCCCAGGATATCTTTTAAAGCATGGAAATCAATTAAAATCGGCATTTCAGGTGGCAGAGCCAGGTCAGCTGTGTCACTGATGGATTCTGTTTTCGCGTCTTCTGTGACATGCTCTTTGCAATCTAAGAGAAGAAAGTCTAATTTAGGATTTGTAGCAGTCTTTCTTGACACAGGAATGCCATGAGAGAGAAGAAGAGTCTCATGACAGACAAAAATATTCAAAGAAATGCTCAGAAAGTTAAGGAAAGTGTGCTTAAACCATCTTTCACAAAAATCTTGTAAAAATAAAGATAATATGGCATCAAATTTAATTATTAAGCCTAAACATGTTCTAACTGTTCAGCAAAGATAATATTAAATCTAGAGCACTGACAGAGATGCAACTCACTTAAATGCATTTTAAACTAGGTCACATAGGAAAACACATTAAGTTCATTTAGGACTTTGCACTTTTCATCTGATTTGTGCATAAACCCAGTATTTGTAGGAGATGATCGTGTTTAATGTAGTGTAATATAGAGCCGAATGTGGAAATACTGAAAGTTCAGTAACTACTGTTCTTTTTACATACGTTTACAACTGTGCTCTCTGTGGTCTCTTTCTGCAAGGATTTAAATGCTTAACTTCTGACACTAATAATTAAGTTCTGTCAAATAAAGTAGGAACATTTTGGCCAGATTTACATACATTGCTTTGCCACATGGCTGCATTACTTATAGCTAGCCTACATTACATTCAATAACATCTCATTTCACAGCATCCAACAAGGACGGTGTAAATTACTGCTCTGTAACTCTGCCTTCCTCTCCACAGCCCAATCCTCACACACATAACCTCAACACCAGCTGACCAGGTGCAGAAGCTGTTACGTGTAGATCATATGGAAACCAGCTCCACTGGAAGCTTAACTCATCCAGCCCTGGTGTGCCATCTCCTTCCAGGCTGTCAGATGGAACCACTACCCCAACATACCACAGCTCACCTTTATTGCAGCCTATGCAGCACGTACTCTGACATTACACTTTTTACTTTGATTTTTGTCCCTTACAACTATTATGGCTTTACTCAATCATAGAATGGTTTGGGCTGGAAGGGACCTTTAAACTAGTGCAACCTGCCCACCATAGGCAGGGACATCTTTCACTAGATCAGGTTGCTTAACTCACAAAATTGACGTCCCTCGTTGTTCAACAGCCAGTTCAGAACACAGCATATACAGTCCTTGCTTAGTGGAAAAACCTCAATTTCAGTATAACAACTTCACCTATGGCTTTTGTCTTGAAATATACACAGGGCTCTCCTCTTTCCTTTGTTGGATGAGATATTTCTAAGAGGTCTTGACCAATAACCACTAGCAGCAAAAAATTTCTTGAAGAGCAAATTATTAGGCAGTTTCAGAAATACCTACAGGTGTGATGTACTCTTCAGAAAGGGCCATAAAACCCAATTAGCCTGGCACTTTTGAATGTAATATACTCAAGCATCATCAGGAAGGGACGACATAATTAAAGCAATAGTTATGGATTCAAAAGTGTGCTCTTTCCTTCCTCCATTTATAGTATGACTGTATTTCTTACCTATACAATTGTTTCCTTAGCAGAATTTCCTTAAAATTTGCTTTCTCTACAAATGTTTTTTCTATACAAAAGTGAACTGTAATGGGGACCATATAAATATCAAAGCCCCAAAACTGTTTTAAACCAGACTACACAGCCGGTCGTTTGCATGAATAAGCTCAACTTCATTTGTACTGGGCCTACAATGCACATTTACTTAAGCGACTGTATACAGAAGGAGAATATAAGCAGGGAGTCATTTCCCCACAGAATTTGATCCAGATGCGAAAGGCTCATTACTATTTTCTCAAGAGCCCTAAGCAATATTTTAGTGAAACATATATCAGAGAAATGAAAAATACTTGAACAATCCAGATATTTCTAAGATTCTGTGGCAGTTTTATGGCAGTGCCTCCCTGCCCTGAGGCTGCCATTAAGAAAAGCATTGTACACATACATATAGTGAAGATATTTCTTCCCACCCCAAAACCACAAGCCTAAGATACACTTAAAGCAATAGTCTATATTACACAGGAATGTATACTGAGCTTCAAGACTTCTGCACCATATTTTGGGAAATTACACGCTGTTGCTTCCTTTCTTTCAAATCTTTTTTACTTTCAACAAAGAAAGTGTCTTCCTTTGCATATTAATGCATGCACAATAATTGAAGATGCCGGAATTTAAACAATCATAGGAAAACACAAATCACTGATCTAATCTATTTAATATAACATTAAGAGGTGTTCTGTGCTGCAAAAGTAATTCTCAGAACGGATGAAGAGAGAATGTCTCCTTTCACAAGATACAAACTATCCTTTTATTAATCCTGATATATAAAGGCCTTTTTACAGTTAATTTTTTTGCAGTGCAATTAATACTAATGCCTTCATACAGTATCAAGGAAAACATTCTACGTCACTATTATTATAATAACACCAACTCAGCTTTCATTCAGGATTCAAATCTAATAGTTATTATCCAACAGCCACTAATCTTTCCATTGTACAACTCATTGCTCTATACATAAATCCCATTCCTTTACTGTAAACACTGCCTTAGTCAGATGGCCCTCCTGTTGTTCCAGCATGTTTCTATATTGTTGTTGAACTACTATTTCTGTACATAATAAATTCAAATGCATAAATACTAGGAGGTCTAGGAAACATAACCTGCATGCTATTCTTGCAACTCAGACTGCAATTTCAACACTACAGATCTTCAAAACCTGAGTAATTTGATATGACAATTCATATTTTAAAAGAAAACTGAGTTTAGAAACAACTGGTTTTCTTCTATACCAAGATTTTACTACCCAACAAAATTTTCCATTTCTGCTTGCTCTTATTTCACCTAGTTCTGTGTATACAGCTGAAGGAGACAGACTTCTTGTAAACAAATCAGTAGGTAATTTTTGAGGCCACCTGCCCTATTAAAAGAATCAGAAACTCTTTCTTTGAGTTTATATAATCTAATTAGTAGACCCCATTTTATAATCTGTAACTATAACAAACTCCAGACTTTTTCTAAAAATATTAACCTAAATTCTGACATTATCTAATTTTCTATAAAAGCATACAGTGATGTTCCAAAAATATAATTACAAACACTAACTTTTTCTTTGAAGGAAAAAACATCATCTTTCACCACCGTTATGGAAGTGCTGACTATGAAGAATCTAGAAAGATGCAAGTAATTAAGATTTCCATTAATGATGACAAATAAATGTTCCCTACCTATCCCGCATGAATAGCCATAAACCATAGTACAAGTTAAATGACACATTTATCTAAAACAAGACAGTTAAATTCAAGTTTCCAGAAGCAGAACTTTTGGTTAGGACAACAGCTTAGTCATCTTTCATTCTAAGGTGGAGAAATAAGCTAAAAATTCAAAAAGTGCCCTTAACAGAGCTCGACGCTGCACTGGAGGAACCACCTGCTGATCTACTATTACATTACTGCTTAAACAAAAGCAGCATGGTACTGAGTTGTTTTAACATGTAAAATTGGAAAACCTAAGAAAAAAAAAAACCCACCCAAAAAAACCCCAAACCAACAAACACCCCTCCCCCAAAACAACAACCAAAAAAATGCAAAAAACAATCAACCAACCAAAAAAAGATTATGTTTGTAAAATTTTCAGAGCAGAATCTGCAGCTACTCAGCAAAGATCACGACAATGTTCCTCAAGAATCTGCCTTTGCAAGCTCCCGAAGCAAAATCTTCCATGTAAATACTAGGATTTGCAAGAAAATGGACTCCTAAGAAGACATACTGACAATGAACTACTATATATAATTCAGGATTTAATCTAAAAAGGAATTCCATGGCACAAAGATTTAAGAATTTAAGACTGCTACTTTCCTCTAGAGTTATAATGGAAATGAGCAAATAGAAGAACCTAAAACTTCCTCAACACGTAGCAATTCTCAGCTCGTCATAAAACATATTTAAATTAAGCACTAGTAATATGTAAGTCTGTATTGGTTTTGTGTGGCAAGGGTTACAGGGGTGGCTTCTGTAAGAAGCTGCTGGAAGCTTCCCCTGTGTTCGAGAGAGCCCATACCAGCCGGCTCTAAGATGGACCCGCCGCCAGCCAAGGCCGAGCCAATCAGTGATAGTGGTAACGCCCCTCTGATAACATTTTTAAGAAGGAAAAAAAGGTTGGGACAAAGAGAAACAGCTGCCGGAGAGAGGAGAGAGAACATGTAAGATAAACAACTCTGCAGACACCAAGGTCAGTGAGGAAGGAGGGGGAGGAGGTGCTCCAGGTGCCAGAACAGAGATTCCCCTGCAGCCCGTGGTGAAGACCCTGGTGAGGCAGGCTGTCGCCCTGCAGTCCATGGAGGTCCACAGTGGAGCAGATCTCCACGTGCAGCCCGGGGAGGACCCCACGCCGGAGCAGGTGGGTTCCCGAAGGAGGCTGTGACCCCGTGGGGACCCCACGCTGGAGCAGGCTCCTGGCAGGACCTGCGGATCTGTGGAGAGAGGAGCCCACGGAGCAGGTTTTCTGGCAGGACTTGTGACCCCGTGGGGGACCCACGCTGGAGCAGTGTGCTCCTGAAGGACTGCACGCCGTGGAAAGGACCCATGCTGGAGCAGTTCCTGAAGAACTGCAGCCCGTGGGAAGGGCCCACGTTGGAGAAGTTCGTGGAGGACCGTCTCCCGTGGGTGGGACCCCACGCTGGAGCAGGGGAAGAGTGTGATGAGCCCTCCCCCTGAGGAGGATGAAGCTGCAGAAAATAATGTGTGATGACCGTAAACCTCATCCCCATCCCCCTGTGCCACTGGGGGGGGTTGGTAGCGAAATACGGGAGTGAAGTTGTGCCCGGGAAGAAGGGAGGGGTGGAGGGAAGGTGTTCTGAGATTTGGGTTTATTTCTCATTACCTTACTCTGGTTGATTTGTAATAAATTGAGTTAATTTTCCCCAAACTGAGTCAGTTTTGCCCGTGACGGTAATTGGTGAATGATCTCTCCTGTCCTTATCTCGACCCACGAGCTCTTTGTTATATTTTTCTCTCCCCTGCCCAGCTGAGGAGGGGGGAGTGATAGAACGGCTTTGG